TAATTTTTTTTTTTTTGTAGAGACAACGTCTTGCTATGTTGCCCAGGCTGGTCTTGAATTCCTGGCCTTAAGTGATCCTCCCACCTTGGCCTCCCAAAATGCTAGGATTACTGGCCTGAGCTACCACTCCTGTCCTTGGAGCTGCTCTTTTAAATGTTCAAACACAGTGCCAGTGGTGCTGTATTAGTTTCCTATTGCTGCTATAACATTACCAGAAACTCAGTTGCTTAAAACAACAAAAATTATTGTCTTACAGTTCCTGGTCTTATGAGGCTGAGAAGAAGGTGTTGGCAATGTTGTGCTCCTTCTGGAGGCTCTAGAGGAGATTTGTTCCTTGCCTTCTCTAGTTTCTAGAGGCTGGCTGCTTTCCTTGGTTCGTGTCTCTTCCTCAGATCACTCTGATCTCTACTTCCATCATCATATCTCCTCCTCTGACTTTGACCCTCTTGCTTCCCTCTTATAAGGACCAATGTGATTAGATTGGGTCCATCTGGATTATCCAGCATAATCTCCCCATCTCACGATCCTTTTTGCTCTGTAGGGTAACATGTCCATAGGTTCTGGGGATTTGGGTGTGGTCATAAGTGGGGGCAATTATTCTGCCCACCACAGATCCCTTCTACTCATTAAGGTTGTCACCTGGATGTCACCTCCTTAAAAGAGGCCTTCTAGGACTACCTCAGACCCTCATCTTCCCTGATCATTCTTGACAGCATTTCCCTGTTTTATTAAATCTGAGGATAGTGTACCTATTTTCTAAATTTATTTTCCATTTAATTGTTCATTTTCTGTCTCCCTCTACTAGAAGATAAATTGTACCGAAACGGAAACATGGTCAGTCTTCTTCACCACTTTGTCCCCTATATCTAAATAGTTCCCAGCACTTGGAAGACTCTCAGAGAAGAATGAAATGAATGAAACATTCTGTATACAGTCTGAGGAAGCTTGCCTTACATTAAAACTATATTAACATACTCCTCTTCCTGTTGCTATCAATAATGCAGACATTTTTACTAAATAGCAGTTAAGCATGTTGTCAATGGATTTTCCTTTGAATTTAAGTATATGGGTTTCTCCTTGGGACATGGCTAAGGTCAATAAAATAAAATATCAGATGTAACATGGAGCTATAGGAAAAAGAAAATATAAGAATTACAATTAATGCAAACAGTAAATACCTTGCCAAAAAAGAATGGCAATATTACCCTGATTGAAGCTATAATCATGATACCAAGATGAATAACATCTGGTCTCTGCCCTTTTCACCACAAAGTGGCAACATTAATATTTTTAATTCAAAAGAAACCAAGATAAGAGCTTTAACAGTTGTCCAAGTGTCTAGGAAGAATGGAGGAGGGAGAGGTTCATTTTAACTGAGACATCAATTCTGGTAAGCAGGGCTTTCCTCGGGCTGTTTCCAAAACATGATCGTTAGCACTTCAGGAAACTCAAAGAGCTTTTAGATAGAAGGAATAATAATATCCATTGACATGGCATTAAGAGCAACCCTGATGGAAAGAGTGCTTTTCTTTAAGCAGGTAATTTATGGCTGTTCAGCTGTTGTTCATTTATTCATCCAAGTGATTGATAAAACACCCTCAAATGAGTCATTCAGACAGGTGATACTAATTGAGTACCTGATGCTAGTCAGTAGTGAGGCCCTGATATGATACCCACCTGTAGTGAGGAGCAGGCGAGGAGGCTGTAAGAAGAGGTTGGAAAGACTTCATAAAAGAGGAATGTTATTTACTGAATTGTGCCCCCTACCCCCAAATACTTATGTTACAACTCTAACCAATTTGTCTATATTTGGATGTGGGTCCTTTAAGAGGTGTTAAGGTTAAATGAGATCATAAGGGTGGGGCCCTAATCCATTTTGACTGGTGTCCTTATAAGAAGAGGAGGAGACACCAGGCATGCGCACATACAAAGAAAAGTCTGTGAAGACGCAGTGAGAAAACAGCCATCTGCAAGCCAAGAAGAGAGGCTTTAGAGAAACGAAATCTACCAACACCTTGATCTTGGACTTCCAGCCTCCAAAATTGTGAGAAAATAAATTTCTGTGGTTTAAGCCAGCAGTCTGTAGTATTTTGTTATGGCAACAGACCATAGGAGGAACTTGATCCAAGTCTTGAAGGATGGGCAGGGCCATTTCTGGGAAACAGCTTCTATGAAGGGTCTGGTTCAGAAAAGGGCTCAGCTTAATGAATAGAAGCCACAGAAAAAGTTGGAATGAACATAGCTTTTGAATTAAAGAGTAAAAGAGAGAACTGAGCATGGATGGGGCACAGGTGGGTGATTGGAAATTCATGCACCATTGTGCTGGGAGAGGGGAAGGTGATTGTGGAGGATCTTGAAATCCAGGGAGAGGAGGTTTGAATTTGATAAAGCGGAAAATCTGAGACTTAACATTTGGAGTTTTGGTAAGGAATCAGCTTTAGAAAGATCAGGGGGATATAGTTTGTGGCAGAGGTGGAAACGAAGAGGAAGGTGTGGCTCCAAAAACTATCATAAAAAAGGTAAAAAAGGACAAAGTTTGGTTGGGCCTAAGTGATAATTGGGAAGAGTTGGAAATTATAGTTAAATGATTGATGAGGCTGAGAGGTATCCGGATAGTTCTTCATCTTTTGGGTTTTATGAGGATTGGAATATGTTAGAAACTCAGGTACAGCATTCTCCCACCCCTACTTTCAAAGATTTTAAAACAGAAGAATTAGCCTTTCTTTCCAAAAAGCTTTATTATTGTTAATTAAACTCTCTGCTTTTACATAATCCCATAGTTTACTGTGTATGAAATGCCAAGGATGGTTGAGGAGCCCTTTTTGCCCCCATGGAATCCTGGGATGTCTCTCCTGTGGTGGGCTGGTTCTCAGGGACAGCAGCACCGTTGGCCTCACATACTCTGTGCAGTTGCTCAGATGTTTTCATCTCTAAAATATTTGTTATTTTTTCTCATTATAAGAATTATACATGTTTATTTTAGAAATTTGTATACTGTAGAAACATAAACAAAAATTCAATTTTTAGGCCTGTTTAGATGTAACTACTGTTAGTGTTTGGGAAGTTAAAC